TGAGTTGCTGAGGCTGGCTCTGAACTTGTGATCCTCCTGCCTCAGCCTCCTGAGCTGCTGGGATTACAGGAGTGCGTCACCATGCCCAGCTCCAAAGTGCCTTTTAATCTATAATATTCTATAAATTGTTGAGCAGGATAGGACACATCTATAATTCCAGCAACTTGGGAGCCTGAGGTAGGAGGATCACAAGTTTGAAGCCAACCTCATTAATTTAGCAATACCCTTTTTATTTTTATTTTGATTGAACCCAGTGTGCCATGCTAGGCAAGTGCTCTAACACTGAGCTACTTTCTAGCCCCAAGATTCTGTCTCAAAATAAAAGATAAAAAAAAGAACTGGAGATACAAGCTCATTGATAAAGTGCCTCTGGATTCATTCCCCAGTAACAACAATAACAATAACAACAATAAGATTTATAAGTCTACAATTGGGTAGGCTCAGGTAGGATGACTGAAAGTTCCAGGCCTGCCTGATTAACTTAATGAAATCCTATTTCAAAATAAATTAAAAAGGGTTAAGGATGTAACTCAATGTGTAAGGCCCTGGGTTCAATCCCCACTACCACCCCTAAGTCTAAGCATTTGAAAACTTCACAGTAATAGAAAATGCACAATACTTCTATTTCATACCCACTGCTCCAATAACAACTACTTGGGAACCCTATACTGCTAGAAGGCAAATGGCCTAATCCAAATAAATTGTGTGTGTGATAAGAGACAGAAGAATAACAGGTGGCAGTTCAGCATAAATATACATAATTCTCTAAAAAAAGGGTTTTTTCTTTTGGTACTGCAGACTGAGCCCAGGGGCATTTTACCACTGAGCCACATGCCCAGTCCTTTTTTTCTTTAATTTTTTTTTTATAGTTTTTAGTTATAGATGGACATAATGACTTTATTTTATTTATTTTTATGCGGTGCTGAGATCAAACCCAATAACTCATGCATGCTAGGCAAGTGTTCTAGTATTGAGCCACAACTGTAGCTCCCCAGTCCTTTTTATTTTGAGATAGATCTTGCAAAGTTGCTGAGGTTGGTCTCAAACTTGCAATCCTCTTGCCTTAGCTTCCAGCGTTGCTGGGATTACAAGTGTGTGCTACCACACGGAGCTAAGGTCTTTCTTGAACCTCTAAATGTTTCAGGATTCCAGAATTAAATACACATACATAATTCATGGTTTTAGTAAGGCTACTTTCTACAACTGTCATAGAGGACTATTTTATCTTTCCTATCTATATGAAGTTAATTATAAATAAAACCACAGTGAAGATTACAATAAAATCTAGACCACAAATAAAACCTTAAATTCGAAAAGTAATTTACTCAGGATTTTAAGTCTATCACTTGCGTGTGTGTGTGTATACACATATATTTACTTGTAGGTGGACACAATACCTTTAATTTTTTAATGTGGTGCTGAGGATTGAAGCCAGTGCCTTACGCATGCCAGGTGAGCACTCTATCACTAAGCCACAGCTCCAGCCTTGAGAAATTTTTTTTAAAATGACATTACTGGTTATTACTGTAGTGAATTTCCTATATCAAGACACAGTAGACGATAAATCAATGAAAAATCCTTTTCATTCTCTGCGGTACCCTCAAACAATAATCAAAAAAGATATATAAAGAATACAATAGTTGTGCAGCTACAGTACTGTACATGAAAAAGGAAAAAAGAAAAGCAATACTAATTCCTTAATTAGGACCTATTATTAATAGATAGGATTTCAGTTTCTCCTTCATTATATGTAGATTTAGTCACATAAATTCCAACTCTAGTTTTCTAATAATGAATAATTTTGGGGAACTGTACTTACTGTGATCATTTATATTAATGTCACCACAATAGGTTTGCTGTCTGTACTTAGTAAAGAATAGCATTCTTTAGATAAGTAAAAATTTTAAAGATGGGGGCTACTGTGAGACTTAACATCGAGTTTATTCAAATATAAGTTTAGTGAGAAAAGGAACTGAGTAAAATGATATTTTGACAAATGTTAAGAAAATAAGAACATACTCTCATTACTTTGCAGAAAACTAGAAGGATCAATTTAAGAGATAACTTGCTCACCAGGTGCCCACCTGCCTATAATCCCAGTGGCTTGGAAGGCTGAGGTGGGAGGATCCAGAGTTCAAAGCCAGGCTTAGCAATTTAGTGAGGTCCTAAGTAACTTAGGGAGACCCTGACTTTAAATAAAATATAAAAAAAGGGCTGGGGAAGTCTCGGTGATTAAGTGCCCTGGGTTCAATCCAAAACAAAAACAAAAACAGTTCTTTGTTTTTCATGTTATATGAAATCATCATAACCCCCCACCCCCACCTTTTTTTCTTTTTTTGCAGTACTGGGGATTGAACCCAGGGGCTTGCACATGCTAGGCAAGCACTCCACCACTGAGCTACATCCCCAGCCCATAAACCATTTGTTCATTTATGTATCTATTAAGACTTCACAGTCGAGGATATTTTACACTAACTTCAACAACTTAAGCCAAAGGGAACTTATTTCCCAAAAAAATAATCTTTATGTATCTATAATTTACTTTGAAGTGTATTTTTATAAAGATGGAGAGGAATGGATGGATGAGTAGATGTGTGACAAAGGACGTATAGTGAAATGTTAATTACAGATTCTAGCTGGTAGTTATAAAATTGTTCACTGTAAAGCTCTTCAACTTTTCCAGATGTTTGAAAATTCCATATCAAGGAAAATCAACTTTTAGAAGTTTCAATACAACTTGTAGATCAAAAAGTTCAACCTATTTGGACATGTCTAACATACAGAGATTTCTTTGTAATACAGTAGGATCCAAGAACATTACACAGAAACAATGCCATGTAGACAACAGAAGTTGGGTTTGGTGGCGCACGCCTATAGTCCCAGTGGCTTGGGAGGCTGAGGCAGGAGGATCATGAGTTCAAAGTCAGCCTCAGTGATTTAGCGAGGGCCTAAGCATCTCAGTGAGACCCTGTATCTAAATAAAATGTAAAAAAGGCTGGGAATGTGTCTCAGTGGTGAAGTGCCCCTGGGTTCAATTCCTGGTATCCCCCCCTGCCCCCAAAAGACTTAAGACAGCAGAATGTACTGATACAAATTGCTCTTCTGAGCACATAAAATGGATATCTGGGTCATGCCAAGTCCCTAATAATTCAGAAACACCTGACACAATTGTATGCATATGTGCACATGTCAAAATAATATGTAAAATTTACATATACACGTATAAATATACACATTTATTCATATATATTTATATTACTCAGAAATTTATCATCCCTGAATTATCAATGAATTTTTAAAAAACTAAGTTTCAAGAACATTTTTTTTTTTAATATTTATATTTTAGTTTTCGGTGGACACAGCATCTTTATTTTATTTGTATGTGGTGCTGAGGATCGAACCCAGCGTCCCGCGCATGCCAGGCGAGCGCGCTACCGCTTGAGCCACATCTCCAGCCCTCAAGAACATTTTTTAAAAACAAGATTTTTGTAAAGATCTGTATTTCATTTACATAATACAAGACTTTAACTTTGCTATTAAAATTACAATACAGTCTAAAATAAACTATTAATATGTCCCAAATGTAAAAGAAAATGGAGTTTTTAAAAACAATTACTGTCCAAATATTGAGCCTCCTAGTGGAATTGAAAAAAAAAAAAAGTTTTGACAATTTTACATCTAATACAAAAGTTGTAGGAGGCAAACCTGCTTCATGTAATTTTTATACTTGAGGAAGAAAAAAAATTTTTTTCAATGGTTTCAAGTCCAAACACAAATCTTCCCTCTATCCATGTTCACACCTAAAGACTGTCAGTAGAACTTAGTAAGACTGGCACCAGGGCTGGGGCTGGGGTTGTGGCTCAGTGGTAGAGTGCTGGCCTAGCACGTGAAAGTCCCTGAGTTTGAGCCTCTGCGCCACAAAAAAAATAAATAAATAAAATAAAGGTCTTGTGTTCAACTACAACTAATAAATAAATAAATAAATATTATATATATATATATATATATATATATACATATATATATAAATAAGGATAAAGACTGGCACCAAATTATATTGTCACCTCTTAGATATACAGGAAGATATTTAAATCAAAATATTTATTGTCAAAACAACAACAAAAGGACTTCTTCAAAGGACTGAAGGGCATAAGGTGTACTAAAATAAATTACTAGCTCGTCTGAACCAAGGAATTTCTTCTACTTCATGAATAGCCACAAATCACAGAGCTAAGGCAAGCTAGTGGAGTCAGCAGTTGTGTGTTTTCCCCCATCCTCACCCAAATTAATTTTTCCTATCTCTACAAAGATAATGCATCCGAAGGCAAGTAACAGGTCCCAGAGTACGACCCACCCCTTACTCCTCCTCCTCTGAGGTATCTGATTACTATATGCCACATACACATTTTACTCCACCTGAACAATGTGTTCCTTGAAGACAGAAACCCTGTGTCCTCATAACTCACGTTTTCCCAGTGTTCTATACACAGTCGCACTAACAAGCTCTACTTAAGTGGAAGGTCCTGCGACACTCGCGTCCTAAGAATGAGTGTTAGAAGTTACTCCCCGCTCTGGGCTTCCATTTCCCCCTTTCGAACAAACAAAAGGCAGCTGATAACAGAATGACGGGAACCTCCCGAGAGAGGCCCAGCCATCTGAACGCTCAGGGAACCGGGTGGACATTAGCGCCCAGGGCCCACGCGACAACCACCGCCAGGTTCCCGCAGTCGTTCTCAGGGGCCGGTCCCGGCAGAGGCGGCGGTCCAGCTGGCTGGGGGTAGGGTGCGGCGGCCACGGCCAGAGGGACTGGAGTCGGCTCTCCCGGAGCTCCGGGAAGGCTGGGCGTGGGGCGCGGGCGGCCACACTGCAGTCCCAGGAGAAGCAGCGGGCTCCAGACCCTCGGGGCGGGGCCCCTCCTGCCCCAGCACCAGGCCCGCCGGCAGGGCGAGGGGTCGAGAGAGTCCCGGCCCCCCAGAGTTCGGGCCTGGCTCGCGTCTTACCATGGTGAGGACGGTGGTGGCGCGTACCCGCGCTCTGGCTCCACTGAGGATAGGGCCGGGTCCGGGCAAGGGGAGCACCGGCCGCTCTGGACCTGCTGCCCCCCTGACAGGAGCAGCTGCCGCTTCGCCTCTTACCAAGATGGCGGCCCCGAGCCACGTCTCCAACCGGAAACGGCGCGGGTCAAAGGGCGGAGGGCGGTTCGGCGGGGTGGGGAAAGCCTGGGTACTGGGATGCTGCGCCGGCTTTCCCCCCGACTTAGGGACGGCTCGACTCCAGCCATGGAAGCTGGCACCTCTGTCCTTGCTCACTGTCGTCGCCTTCGTTCATTTTGCGTCACCTCTTACAGTTTATAAAGCCATTCTCACAGCCACTGAATAATATAATATACAAAATAATCTGTGTGTATAAGGGACTAGTATCCAGAATACATAAAGAACTCTAACAACTCAACAATTAAAAAAAAAAAATCTAAAACCGGACAAAGGATTTGAATTGGCATTTCTCGAGAAGATACACAAGTGGCTGATAAAAAAAAAATTAAAAAATGTTTAGCAGGGCTGGGGATGTGGCTCAAGCGGTAGCGCGCTCGCTTGGCATGTGTTTGGCCCAGGTTCCATCCTCAGCACCACATACAAACAAAGATGTTGCGTCCGCCGATAACTAAAAAATAAAAATATTAAAAATTCTCTCTCCTCTCTCACTCTCTTTAAAAAAAAAAAAAATTTTTTTTTTTTTTTGGTTTTGGTTTTGGTACTGGGGATTGAACTCAAAGGCACTTGACTACTGAGCTACATCTCCAGCTCTATTTTGTATTTTATTTAGAGAGGTCTGCGGCTGGTTTTGAACTCTCAATCCTCCTGTCTCAGCCTCCAGAGCCTCTGGATTATAGGCAAGCGTCACAGCATCGGGTTTGAAGCCACTTTAGAACAGTCCTGCAGTTTCTCAGAAAGTCACCACACAATCAGCAAATCCATTGGTACTACATACTGAAGATAATTATAATTCAGCACAAAAATGTGTACTCTAATATTCATAGCAACGTTATTCATAGTAGCCAAAAAGTAGAAACTATTCAAACAAATCCAATCATAAACAGATGGACAAAACGTAGTATGGCACTGAAGTTGAATATTGTTGTTATCCATAAAAAAAGGAATAAAGGCTGGGTGCAGTGGCATATGTCTGTAATCCCAGCTAATCAGAAGGCTGAGGCAAGAGCATGGTAAATTCAAGAGGAGCCTGAGTAATTTTTTTTTTTTTTTTTTTTTTTTTTTTTTTTTTTTTAATATTTATTTTATTTTTTTTAGTTTTCAGTGGACACAACATCTTTTGTATGTATGTGGTGCTGAGGATCGAACCCGGGCCGCACGCATGCCAGGCGAGCGTGCTACCGCTTGAGCCACATCCCCAGCCCGAGCCTGAGTAATTTAGCAAAAGCCTGTCTTAAAAAAAAAAAAGGAGGGAGGGTGGCTAGGGAAATAGCTCAGCCTTGGGTTTGTCTCTAGTGCCACAAATAAACAAAAACTATGTGCGAAAGCAGGGTAGTTATTGTGCTTATGCCCGTTTTGCATGTGAATAAAATGATGACAAGTGTGATTTACCCAAAGTTTCTAAACCAGAACTCAAAGCTAGTCTTCTGATTCTTTCTGAAGTTCTCTCATGACAAATTTCAGGTTTTACAGAACATAATTGATTCAGTAGTTCTGACCTTTATCATTTTATCCCATATCCCTATGGGTTTGACCCTACAACACTCATCCATATTAAACCTACATGTCTGCAATGAAGGATAGCAGCAAATTTGGGGGGTACTTATTTTGTGTCAATTCTTTATATATATTATCTATAATCCTTTACAACAATCCAGATAAAGACACTGAAGATCAAAGAAGTTAAACACTTGCCCAAATTTACACAGACAGTCAGTGGTAAAGCCAGGATTCAAATCAAGCTGTTTTATTATAACACATTGCTTCTTTTTATTTGTGTATTCCTTAATACTTATGGAACACGTAAAAGTTACCAGACATTAATTTCTTTACAGATTATCTAGGAATAAGTGTGATAATAAGAATTCTCTAAGGTAGGTACCATTATTTTCTTCATTTCACCTCTGAGCAAATCAAGGTACAAAGGAAAAATTCTACCAAAGTTCTCATGGCTAGAAAATTTTCAAATGACGTCATAATCCCAACTTCAGAACCTGTACCCTTAGACACTGTATTATAGACTTCCCACTCTTATTCATTTAAATTCCATCTCCAATGGAATGATGACATATTTTAAAACTCTGCATCTCTGGAAGGATTTATGTCAACCTGTATTTTAATTTTTGTTATAAAACACACTTTTTCTTTTTTTGGTATAAGGGATTGAATTCAGTAATGCTCAACCACTGAGCCACAGCCACAGCCCTTTTTATATTTTTATTTTGAGACAGGGTCTTGCTAAGTTGCTGAGGCTGGCTTTGAACTTGTAATCATCCTGCCTCAGCCTCCTGAGCCACTGGGATTGCAGTCATGAACCACCACACCTGGTCAAAACTACATATTTTAAGAAAAATAAACAAATTCTTTTTTTATTTTTGTGGTGCTGGGGATTGAACCCAAGGCCGTGTGCATATGAGGCAAGCACTCTATCAACTGAGCTATATCCCCAGCCTGCAAATTCTTCTGTTTAAAAAAGTAAAATCCTGGGGCTGGGATTGTGGCTCAGCAAGTAGAGTGCTTACCTAGCACATGCGAGGCCCTGGGTTCAATCCTCAGCACCACATAAAAATAAAAAATAAAAAGATATTGTGTGTGTGAGAGAGAGAGAGAGAGAGAGAGAGAGAGAGAGAGAGAGAGAGAGAAATCCTGGGCTGGGGTTGTGATTCATTGGTAAAGCACTTGCTTAGCATGTGAGAGGCCCTCAGTTCAAATCTCAGCACCACATTAAAAAAAGAAAGAAAGACATTGTGTCTAACTACAACTAAAAAAAAATCAATATTTTAAAAAATAAAATCCTTTAAGAATTATTGCCTTGTTGTGGCAGTTTGCAAGGCTTTCACTATAAAATTCAGAAGAGATGCGATTCAATGGTAGAGTGCTTGCCTAGCATTCACCACAACCTGGGTTCCATCCCCACCAAATAAATAAATACATAAATAAGTGAAAGACGGACTGATGCTGATTCTTTGGAAATGTGATGATAGCTGAATTAAATTGAAGGAGAAAATGCATCCCTGCAAGCAGGCTTTGCAAGGAGTGCCTAAGAGGAAGTATATTATAATGGTTTAAAGCAAAGACTTAGGAAAGACTTAGGAGTCAGACTAACCTGCTTTCAGAACTTTCTAGCTGAGTGACTAGGCAAGTTATTTTAACTCTCTAAGCCTTAATTAATTACTAATTACCTGATCTGTAAATTGGCAGTGACATCTATCTCATAAATTTAGGAAGCTAGAAAATACAGAATAGATTATATAATTTCTAAGTGCTTCCACATAGTCAATGCTCATGTGTATATATATATATATATATATATATATATATATATATATATATATAATTTATTAGGGGCAATAACACATAACAAATAGAAAAAAAATTGTAGGTGTGTGTGTGTGTGTGTGTGTGAGTGTGGTGCTGGGACTGAACTCAGGACCTCAAACACACCAAGCAAGTGCTCTACCACTGAAATACATCTTCAATCCTGCAGTTCCATTTTATTTATTTATTTATTTATTTTTAGAGAGAGGGAGAGATAGAGGAGAGAGAGAGACAGAGAGAGAAAAATTTTAATATTTATTTTTTAGTTTTCGGTGGACACAACATCTCTGTTTGTATGTGGTGCTGAGGCATGCCAGGCAAGCTCGCTACCGCTTGAGCCACATCCCCAGCCCCCCATTTTATTTTTTTAATTAATTTTTTAAAATATATTTTTTAGTTGTCAATGGACCTTTATTTATATGTGGTGCTAAGATTTAAACCCAGTGCCTCTCACATGCTACGCAAGCACTCTTCCACTGAGCCACAACCCCAGCCCCTGCAGTTCCATTTTAAACTAGAAGTCTCAGAAGAGGTGACTTTCAATAGCAAAGAAATGGAATTGGGGCTGGGGTTGTGGCTCAGTGGTAGAGCTCTTGCCTAGCACATGTGAGGCACTAGGTTCAATCCTTAGTACCGCATAAAAATAAATAAATAAAGGTATCGTGTCCATCTACAACAAACATAAATAAATAAATAAATGGAATCAACCTGTGTCCATTAACCAGTAAACGTATAAAGTAAAATGTAGTATATACGATTTTTTTCCCCCGTATAGGGGATTTAACCTAGGGGAAGTTAATTACTGAGTCACGTAAAAAAGCCTTTTTTAATTTTTAAGTTTTGTTTTTGAGACAGGGTCTCACCAAGTAACTTAGAGTCTTGCTAAATTGCTGACACTGACCTTAAACTTTCGATCCTCCGGAGGTACCTTAGCATTCTGAATGCTGGGGTTATAGACCTGCACCAAGATGCAGGGCAAAATGTGGTACATATATACAGAGGACTGGGGATGTAGATCAGTGGTAGAGTATTTCCCTAGCATGTGCAAGGCCTTGGGCTCAATCCCTGGTACCTCCCCGTCCCCACACACACTGAAATACTATTCAGCCATAAAAAGGATGAAATTCTGTCATTTGCTATAACATGAATGAAACCGGAGAACATTCTGTTAAGTGAAAAATCCAGGCACAGAAAGACAAAGACCACTTAATCTCACATATATTTGGAATCTAAAAATACTGATTCATACAGAGGCTGAGAATAATAGGAGGGAGAAAGCAAGTGGGAAATATTGGTCAATGGGTACTAAACTGTACCTTGCAGAACTGAATTTTGGTAGAATCATTACAGATAACAATAATGTGCTATGTGCTGTATACTTCAAAAAAGCTAGAAGAAAGGATTTTGAATGTTTTCAAAACAAAGAAATGATAAATGAGGAGAAAGATAAATGAAGAGAACTTGATTTGAAATTACACAATGTATATATGTATGGAAACATCACCTGGTGCTCCAGAAATATGTACAATTTTTAGGCACCAATTAAAAAATTAAATTTGGTGCATGCCCGTAATCCCAGGGTTTGGGAAGCTGAGATAGGAGGATCTCAAATTTAAGGCCAGCCTCAGCAATTTAATGAGGCCCTA